TCTCTTTCTGAATCTGAATAGTGCCCTGTGGAACTGATTCCCAAGAGGATATTTCCTTGATCACTACAATCTTAACCTGTTAAAGTCTAGGGTTAACCATTATCATCCATATAAATTATCTCTTAACATAACCCTTGTAAAAACATTAAAAAAAAAAAAAAGAAGTGTTCTTTCTGTTGCCATTTTCTTTAACACTTCCTTGTTGCTTACTTGCTCCAACCATGGAATTTTTAATATCCTTCTGTAGAACCAAAGTTCTGCTACCTTGAATGTTTTCCTTATCTGTAGGGAAATTGTCTCACAAATTCACTACTTGGTTTGTTCTGTTTTATTCACCTGACCTTGCATCAAACGATTGCTGATTGCTGCAAAATGCTTTGTTGAGGAAAACATTTTTTACTTTTCTGTCTGCTATCAGCATGACTGATGCTAGACTCCTGGAGAGCAACACTCTTCACCTTCTTGGCCTCATATTTTCCACTGACTTGAAGTGGAGTAACTACATCAAATCAATACCTGCATCTACTGCAAGAAAGTTGAGTCATTGTCAGAAAATTTTTCTCATCAGAATCGATCTTGCACATTTACAAATCTATCATTCTTCTGTGAATTAAATACTGCTGCCATATCTGGTCTGGAGCTCTTGCTATACATCTTGAGATTCTTGACAAAATCCAAAGAAATATCTGTAATGTAATTGCTCCTGACCAAGCATCTCGACTTCAGTCACTTTCTCACCGATATGACATAGCTTCCCTCTGTCTTTTTGTTATAACCCACTCCTAGTGGTTATAATATTATTTCTTGCTTAGGCTGCTCACCATGACATCAGTTAGAAATCTCATGACTGACTCCTGCAGACTACCCTGACTCACTTGGAGTTCTTTATTTAAAGCATCTTGACTTGAGTCACTAAGGGATATTATTTACCTCAAAACATCCCCCATTTTGAGATTTTTCTTATTAGTAAATATTTTATTTTATTTCTTAGTATTCACCCCACCCTCCCACGTACTGAACTTTGTATTTCTTTCATTTTGGGTCAACCTCTATTTTTTCTGTACATTTACTTTTTCTGGTAATCATACTTCTACATTCAATTCTTGGGGTGTTGGTACATCAAAAATATCATATAGTACTTGCATAGGTTCTTCTTTTCTTGAGGGCCTTCTTCAGTAAACCTTTTCTTTAACTGATTCCAATGCCTTTTGTGTTCCCATTTTCCTTTTACCATATATATCATTTTCCCAATTCATAACCTTATTACGCCATCTTCTCACATTTCTTTTTCATTTTTATACACTCTGAAAAACACTTTTTTGCTAGTTTTGAAAAATTTTGTATCCTTTTTGTTATCCATTTTTATTTTGTTTTTTATCTGGTAACAACTTGTCAAACACTGATTTAATTTTTTTTGCAAACAACATTTCTGCCAGCGACATGCCTGACAGTGTATTGGGATTTGGCATTATCTGGCATACTCTCAAGAATTTTTGTAGTGCTTCTTTACTCACTTTTTCATTACTTTTCAAAGCTCTCTGACTTTGGGTAATATGGCAGGGTAGTAATATATTCAATATAGAACATTTTACAAAAATCTTTAAATTCGTAAGCAGTGAATTGTGTACTTTTTATCCAAGACTATGGCATTCGGAATGCCATATCTTGCAAACAGTTTGTGTAAAAAATTTACTGTAGCCATAGAAGTTGTTTCTTTTTTTGCACTTGCAAATTTCAGGCCACTTAGTAAAGCTATTCACTACCACAAGAGAATGTGATACGTTTATTGGACCTGTGAAATCTATGTGCAGTCTTGACCACAGAGTTTCTGTTTTTGGCCAAGTTTGTAATTTTGTGGTAGGTGATTTTGCTGCTAGAGCATAACCTGTGCAGGCTTTTCCTAATTTGTCAATGTCTTGATCCATTTTGGTCCAGTATACATAACTTCTCATAAGAAATTTCATCCTTGAAATTCCCAGATGTTCACTATGAAATTCATTTAATATCCACTTTTGTAATATCATAGGTATTACTACTCTTTGTTCAAACGCCAGTACTTCATCACATAGTGAGTAAGTGTTCAAGTCTGGATTACATTAAAAAAATCATATATCTTACTTTCTTTTAGTTGAAAATGCTTGTAACCTAGTAACGTTTGTTGGAGGAGGCATATTCTTAATTGCACTTGCCCTCGACAGAGATCTGGTTGACGATCATCTTTAGGTACTTGATTTTGGGCAAAAACAATTTGTACTTTTCCTGAATGAGTTTGAACCCATATTCTCGTATTTTTTCAAAAACTCTTTTCACATGCCTGATATGTTGTTACTTAGATACACTTTTAATTAATATATCATCTAGATAAGCAACTGCAAAATCCCAGTCTGCAAGCATAGTATGCATAGCTTATTTGAAATGTAGCCGGAGCCATTTTATCCCAAAAGGAAGTCAGTTGAACTTATACAATCCCTTGTGTATATTTATAGTTGTTAACTTGAACATTCTTCAACTTGTATTTGCAAATATGCTTCAGAAAGATCCAGCTTCAAAAAAATTTACCACTATTTAATTTTGCAAAAATTTTCTCTGGACTTGGTAATGGGTAATTATGAGGTTCTAAACATTTGTTTAACCCTATTGAAAAATCAGCACAAACTCAAATTTTATTATTTTTTTCCTTTACATACACTGCTGGTGCTGCCCATTTAGAATGTTCAATCTTTTCAGTTATACCTCTTTTTTTTCAAGTCTGTCTAATTCTTTGTTGACTTGAACCAATGCTGTGAATGGTACACTACGTTTTGGTTTAAACACTTACATGGGCATTTTTTTCACTTGAAATTTTACTTTGACTTTGGAACACCGACCCAACTCATCCAACAAAACATCTGGAAAACAATTCTTTTCAATTCTTCCTTTAAATTTTCACTGTTTTTTTAAACTGGTTGTTTGTCCACTTACATTTTTGCAATAAATATTTATAGGTAAATCCAAGAGTTGAAATAATTCCATCCACTCAGTACTGAATAAGTTTGTAGTATTTTTTTAACACATAAGCCTTAGCTTTTACACACTTGTTACGGAGTGACATGTTACAAGTCATTTTGCCCATAAAAAATAATTTCTCACCTGACACACCATGTACAATTTTTGAAGTTTCTTTTTAATATAAGTTTTCAATTTGCTTTTGATGTGACTTTGTTGATTATTATGATATCACTACCAGTATCTAGTTGCATTTTTACATCCACATTATTAATTTTCACATACACAAGTTTTTCTTGGTTTTCTGTAATTATTTTTTTCATCACAATGCTGAATATGAAATTTTTTTTGTGAGAACGTTTCCTTGCCTTAGTTTTACAGTGTGACTTTTTTTGATTCTACTTTTCCGCACTTTTAATTCTTAAAAGGACAGTTGACTCCAAGATGTAACCTTCCACATCTGAAACATGGATTCATTTTTCTTTTTCCACATTTTTCTTTAGCTTGTATATATATATACATATTCTTTTTCTTCAATTTCTTTGATATCATGTATCAGATTTAGGATTCTCTGACATTCATCCAATATTTCTTGTAGTGTTAATTTTTGATTCTGTTCAAGTTTTGTTAGAATTCTTGCATGTATTTCTGCTTCTTTTTTCACCATTAACCCTTTAAACATATCTGGAGTCAGTTCATTTAATTTGAATCTTTCACACCTTGTTAATGATTCCAGCATATGTGATAAAATTTTTGTCTTCTTTTTTTCGCCAGATTCATACACTTCCAATAAGTATTGAATAACAAGGTTTTCTTGCTAAAAATTTTAGTCAGAATATTTACTGTTTCTTCAAAGCAAATTTCTCCTGTTTTTTTTAGTAGTACAAAATTTCAATATTTTTCATGTTCTACCGGTGCCAACTTTCTCAACAAAAGTCTTGTTTTTGTTTTCTTCTTGTCTTACCAGTTACTGCATTCTTCTCTGAAAATTTGCTCATATCTTCTAAAATAAGCAGAAAAATGTAATTCACTCATCTGAATTGTATGTGAATTCAGTTATGGTATTTGCCACCACATCAGGAGTGAAAGAATTTGAGCAATTTTCCATTTTCTTCCATACTAAATTTTGCTGTTGCTTCTGGAGTTCCAAGAATTGCTATTGTTGCTGCCGTATTTTTATCACTTGGGCTAATAATTCTTCCATATTTGAAGAATGTTTTTTTTTTATCTTTCTCTTTTTTCTTTTTTACAGACACCAAAGAGAAAAAATTAGACCAACATGGTTATAATTTCTTGTTGTCATTGTTATCATGTGCATCAAAGCAAAGAAAAGTACTTTTTTCCAACTCAGTATGAGTTTTGATATACTTGTCCCCACAGTTATAACTCACTTCTAGTGGTTATAATATTATGTTTTGCTTAGGCTGCTTGCCATGACGTCATTTAGAAATTTTCCTGACTCCAATAGACTACCTTGACTCACTTCGAGTTCCTTATTTAAGGTGTTTTGCCTAGTTCATTTTTATTGTTGAAATAATTAAATGCAACCACCAATTCTATTCCAACAATTTCTTTTCTTGCATTTTCCCGCTTGTGGAATTCTCTTCTGTTTATTTGCTTCCCTGATAACTACAATCTTCAAAAATTTAAATGCAATGCCAATCACCATCTCCTGTCTTCTTGAATCCCATTCATTTTTTGTCCTTTCCTCAATCCTCCCTATACTCAGTCTTCTCTTTCACTTTCACGCTCTGTAACCCTGTGTGTGCTAGTGGTATTCTTGCCTTGATTGGGGTAAAACGATTGAAAAAAATGATTCAATAGTTTGGCAAAAACCTGTAGAATTTTACTCAAAAGGTATTGAGGAGATGTCTGGTAAGTGGCAACAAGTCACTGCAAATAACAGTGAATATATAATTGAATAAAATGGAATGGTACATTTTATTTTTTGAGAAAGAAAGTTGAGCAGCGGAAATAGAAATTACTTATGACTCAACATACATAATTATACTTACCAACATATATATTTATTTCTGGATTTTTTACATGCTGTCCATTAGTGGCAAAGTAGCTATTAAGAACAATATTTATGACAGGTAGGTAGCGAACACAGCCCTCCACAATTTTCATAAGGAGTGAGATCATTTTAGGGTCCGCTATCTGAAAGAAAATAGGAAAATTAATTTTTAGTTTAAAAACATTTATGAGAATCATAAGAAGAGTTGATGACTGTAGGGCAGCTACTAGTGTAATATGTATCTTCCCACCTCAGACCATGCCAGAATAGACTTTGCACTCAGTCCTTCAGAGAAGCAAGGTGCAGAACTGACCAGTGGCATGATCTCCTGGACACTGACTGCAGATTTCTATGATTGGCCCAGCTGTACCTGATATGTGCACATGTGGGACAGACCATATGACAGATAAATATATAAACACCAAAGGAAAGGGACAGTCTTTTACACTAACATGAGAAGTAGAATCCACGTTTGGGGAAAGCTCCAGGATCACATACAGGCTGGTTGGTTGTAATTGACAAAGTCCAGAGTTGAATAAAATGCAGTGTCACATAAATTTACGTTTTACTTAAGTGGTTATGGCCCTCCACAACTGCAAGTCCTTTGTAGCTCTGTGTAAAGTTTATCTTCTTTTTGTAATCTCTATTCTGCTAACCATTTACAGAAACTCATTAGGTAGGTTATTTACTGCTTTCTTCTGTCTCTCTTACCATCTATATGTCATGTGAGTATCAAATTCTCCAAGCATTCTTTCTTCATTATGTGCCCTAGAAATTTCAACATTCTCTTTCTGATGCTAAGGATGTCTTTTTTGTTTCCATTTTCCATGTCATTGCTCACATATTCAGTATTCTTCTGTAGAATCACACTGCTGCTGCCTCGTCTCCTCTTCATCTGTGAAGAAATTGTTCAGCATTCACTGCCATATAGAGGAATTGATGCTACATAGCTGTTCAGCACTCTTTGATTCTAATGAAATTTTCCTGTTTCATAATACTTTACTCAGTTTTTGGAAGACAGTTTTTGCTATTCCAAAGTTACATTTGAATTTCAGTACTTGATGTCTCCAACTTGGGCTGTTCCTCTGGCTGACAATCATATATTCAGTCTTCTTACAATTGATCATTAGTCCTTTCTTCCTACTTTCCTTTATTTACTTTTTTAGGATTTCTGGTAGTTTCCTTTCATCAACAGGAATTTTTATTCTCTTAGTATTTTTTTTACAGTGGTGTTCACCCTGTACAAGGCCCTGGGGCTACTCAAGGTAGGAGGTTAGAATTTATGCAGATATGTGCAAAAGATAATGATTAACCCTAGACAGGTTAAGATTGTAGTGAATGGGGAAGCAGCCTCAGTGGTTCATGGGAAGAAGCTACTTGAGTGGAAGCTCACCAGGGGGATATGAAGGAAGTAGGGTCAGTTGCATCTGGGATTTGTCACCTGTCGCTTCCTCTAACCAGCTCTTTGGTTAACAAGTGACAAAAAAAAAAAGACAATTCTTCCGTTTTAATAAATTTTATTGAATCTTAGGCAGATGAAAAAGAAATATAACTACAATTCCATTCCTGTTTTCCTTTGGAAACTTGTCAGTCTTAAAATCCAAGTCTTATCAACTGACAGAGTTTTGGCTAGAGACTTGCTGTTAACCTTTGTGGGTGGCCTTCTCATTACCCACTTTGTTCAACAAGTGGCCCACTGACACCTTATCTCATTCCTTTAATGGCACTTGAGGTCATTAAAATATAAGCTATTCTTTTGTGTGGTGATCAATTGAACACTTAGGAAAATATCATCACTTAATATTAATTTGACCAAAAACAGATGGCTTGTCGGCTGCATCTCAACCCCAGAGTGGGGAGAGAAAGGAAAACAAATATCCTTTCCTTTCATTTTCCTTGCCTTTTTATCAGTATACTTTCAGTCTATTGAAAAAAATAGTATTTTTCTTGTTTTGTTATCAGCATACTTTCAATCTATAAAAAAAAAACAGTGTTTATTTTCTTGTTTTCCAGTTTATTTTTAAAGCCTTTTTTTTCTAATTTACTGGCATCTTCTTAATAGTGTCACAACAAAGTAAAATAATAAGAAACAAAAATTTTGTTAGAAAGAAAGAAAAAGGGTACTGAAATGTTATGTAATATCAGATTGCTGAACAATTACAACACAAATGAAGAAGAGATTTGCAGCAACAAAAATGTGTTTCTACAGAAGGATGCTGAGAATATCATAAACCAGGGGTAACCAAACCTGTTTAATGTAAGAGCCACATACAAGAAATTTATACATAGGTTTTTGTTACATACACATTAACATTGAACTTATGTTTTAATCCAATGGGGTCTCAATTCATGCCCAGTAAATAATAATAAAACTTGAAATATTTCTTATTTACCTTTTATGTTAACTTTGATGAAAAAAAGGAGCTCAGCCAATATATTTCCATGAGCCACATATTAAAGGTCAAAGAGTTGCATGTGGCTCATAAACCGTGGTTTGATCACCCCTGACATAGACCAAACATGTGAGTTTTAGAGAAAATGGAAACAAACAGGATACTTATACTTAACATCAGAAAGAGATAATTGAAGTTTCTATGGCACATAATGAGGTAAGAGGGCTTGGAAAATTTTGATATTCACAGGACATATTAAAGGCTCAAGTTTCATGAAGATAACATCCAATCATTAGGTAAATTGGTTGTAAAACTAAATTTACTTTCAAAGACAGCTGAAATTTCTAAGGCACATAATGAGGAAAGAGGGCTTGGAAAATTTGATACTCAGAGAGTAGATTGAAGGAAAGAGATAGAGGAAAACAATGCATAACCTACCTAACAAGCTTGGGTAAATGGATGGTTGAACAAGGTTTAGGAGAGAGAACAAAAAGATAAAATTTATTAAGAGCTACAAAGGCCAAGAAATAGTGGAAAGCCATGATCATCAATGGCCTGGAGAGACATGCCACATAGAAGAAGAAGATCCTTGTTTTTTTTTTGAGTACTTTTCAGTTTATTCTATATGCAGGTGGTTTGCCACCAGTATATATTCAATAAGAAGAAGAATATAATACAAAGTAGAATTTTATTGCATAAAAGTTCTTTTGTTGTCTTTCACAAGTCTCTAGTTTAAACAGAAGCAAATCTATTTTTTCTTTTTTACCATTCTTCAAAAATGTTACTTTTCACATTGAATAATTCCAAAGAAATTAGCCATTACATGAATAGCTTGATGATAAGAATTCATTCAAACAGAAGACTAACTTTCCATTTTCAGTGCTCTGCCATTCATCTTTTATGAAAATGAGTTTCTCCCAGACGCAATTCCTTTTTCATCAGATTTTTATTAAAATGTATTCTGATTGCCTGTGTTTTAATGTCCCCAGTTTATTTCTTGCATTCCCAGGTCAAGGTTAGCTATATTCAAAACTGGCTGCCCTAATATCAAGCCTTTTCACTGCAACAAATAATAAGCAATTAGCCAATTCTAACTGAAAAATAGCTAATGACAAATTATCGAAGAATAGTAGGTATTAAAGAATGCCATACTTATTAAAAGAGAAAGTAACTTTCTTAGATGGAAAATTCTTGAGAGTGCTGCTATTGAATCTTATCAAATTATAAATCTGTGACCCAGATTTTTCAGATATCCTTTTTTCTAAGAGAAATACCCATTTTCCAGGCCAACATACATGATTATATAAATTTTTAAAAAATTAAAAGAAAATGGTTAAATTCTAAACCTTCTATTATCTAAAATATATAATACATAAATTAACTAAAACTAAAATAATATAAATAATAATTACATTATAGAAAAAATTCAACAATAGAAACATTTATTCACTTTTGTTTATTAAACATTAAATTACATCACTTAGAATCCTCCATAATTACCTTGATTTTCAATTAGCATACATACACACATAGCGGTGTCTTTTTTCTTGAGGCACCTCACCATCTCTAGATTGAAACAAAAAAATATTCTTTAAAAAATATTGAAATAACCTGTGCCTCTCAGTTTGTGGGCATGTGTAGATGTGGCAATATGAACAAAGCCCCGTCTGATGAAATCCTAATAGATGAAATGCATCACAAGAAATTTTCCAGTTTGTCATATTTATATATATATATATATATATATATATATATCCTGTCTACAAAGGCAGCTTGTCAATATTGTAGATTCTCGCTCAGGCACATTGGTGTTTGTTCAACACACAGAGCCAACCTGTGATTTATACTGCAACTATGCTGAGCAAACCTTACTTACAGTTTCTGGGAGAGAGCGTGTTATCTACAATGATCAACAATCTGAACAATACCAGCACACTCAAACCACAGCTATCGACGACCCCAAGTGTTACGTCTACCCAATTTCACTCACAAGGCTTGGGTCAACCAGTGGAATGGTTTTCAGGCACTTGGGTCAACCTGTGGTATGGTTTTCAGGTACTTCCCATCCCCACTCCAGACTGATAACATCAGGAAGTCTCCTTCCTGACAAATCGACAATGGTGAGATTTGAACCTGAGTTTCCTGGTAACAAGCAAGCATTCTAACCACTCAGTGGCCATGTACCCATATATATATATATATATATATATATATATATATATATATATATAAGTTGGCTCCTATAAGAAGCTCATCCACCCTTTTCTTATTTTTTGTCCTGTGGGGTGACATGTCTCCCTCCTTACCAGCAGAAAAGTTAGTGGGGGAGCTGGTTTAGATACCAACCAGTCATCCATGTGGCAAGTTTTACTGGATTACATGTTACCATTAGCAGGCCAAACTACTTAATTTTAAAAATTATGAGAAACTAACAACATCTTTAATTTTGTTTAGAAAAACTTGTTGTAAAATAAAGTCCTTAGATTTGCCTTGATATTGTCCATCAGTGGATAAAACACAGTAACAAATAGCTTATGTTTTTGTTTTATTTTTATATTTCTTAGACAGCCGTAAAGGCTGTATAAATCCAGTAAGAAGACACGTCCTTGTCTTAGGACCCTTTCTATTTTTGCCTACTTAATTCATTGCTATTTTCCTATGCAGACAGACTATGATTTGTAAATGTCTCTTTGTCAATAAATTTGTCTAAATTAGGTTTGTTTAGTGGGTGTGAG